GAGAAGGGTGAAGGAGCTGCGCGTTCCCGTGCCGGGAGTGGGGCCGAGGGCCAGTCAGACGCTGCAGGGAGGGTCCACCCTCCACCGCCCCCGGGCACCTTCCCATGTCCATGTTCGGGCTCCTCAGTGCCGCAAAGGGTGTCCCAGGCTGGTCCTGGGGACCCCGCTGTCTCGGCTTTTGTGTGCGGAGCTAAGGGGCTGGACGCCCCCCAGTAAGGCTGGTGAGGGTCTCGCGTTGTCCAGACCCGAAGCAGAAGAGGTGAAGGATGGTGGGGGACAGAGCCAGGGCCCCATCACACGACACAGCAAGACTAGCTCCCCTGGACCGAACAAAGGCCGCCTGGGGTCCTAACTCACGGCAGGAGACATTTCTCTGCATGTCGACTCCCAGCAGCCCGGTAGGTTCCGTGGACTTTACACCAGGTCCCAGGAGAGTTGCCGTGTCTGTGTGTGTGTCTGTGTGTGTCTGTGTGTCTGTGTGCATCTGTGTGTCTGCGTGTGTCTGTGTGTCTGCCTGTGTCTGCGTGTGTCTGTGCGTCTGTGCCTGTGTGTCTATGTGTGTCTGTGTGTCTGCCTGTGTCTGCGTGTGTCTGTGTCTGTGCGTGTCTGCGTGGGTCTCACACGTACAGGGACAGACTAGGTGGTTCGCATGCGCTGTCGGTCCCTGGAGTGTCCTCCCGGCTCTGGGGCCGTGTGGACGGCAGAGCAGGCAGTGAAATTGATGACTCGTGCATCTGTCCAGGGCAGGAGAAGGCAGTAACTCGCCATTAATAGAAAAATATGAAAAGTTGGCTCATTCTGGGCATTCTTAAGACATCGCAGGAGACTCACTAGAGGCGGGCAGAGGTGACGGCAAGGCCACGCTCCCAGATTCTACCCCGAACCTTCCGACAGAGTGAACTATTTATAGATGAAACAGTACTATGTCTGGTATTTGCTCCACACAGAATGGGAAGGGAAGGAAGGGGTGGGGCCGAGATGACCACGAGGTTCACTTACGTCCTCTGCCTACTTTTGCAGATGCTTAAAATGTCTATCGGAGGAAAGTGAAAAGAATCAGGAAGAAGAAAGCTCCCTCACCTACCTGGGCGCACATGAAATGCGTTCTGTCGGCCGTTTACCGCTCGGGAACCCAAATGCCCTGGAGGCCTGGGTGCCTGAGAACCGGGTCTGACTGTGGCCACCGTGGTGGGACACCTGCTCTGGGCCAGCACTGTGTTGGGTGCTCCCAGCAGCCCCGGGAATGAGGAAACCGGGGCCCAAAAGGGCCCAGTCAGCGCCCCCGGGTCACACGGCTCCTAGTGGTGGACACAGGTTTCAGTCAGCATCAGCAGGAAGTACAGAGTCCGCGGGTACTCGCGTCCTACGAAGTCAGCCTGGAGGGCTTCTTCCTGACAAGGAGAACCGAGACGGTCCCAGCGTCACAGTCCTCTGAAGGTTCGGGTCTGGTGCGCAGGGACGCCTGCAGGCAAGAGGGCCCCTCACTGCTGTCCTCTGACTGGAGCCCTGAATCAGGCCTCCAGCATCCAGATGGGAAAGAGGAAGTGAAACTACCTCTACTTCCAGGTAACATGACCTGATGGACGCAGAGTCCTGAGGAAGCCCCTGGAATCTGTCAGAGCAAGAGAATGAGTCCCACCAGCTACAGGATACAAGAGCGACACGGAGAATCTACTGCATTTTCACACACGCGCCATCCGAGCGCGACGTTAGGGAGAAAATTCTGTTCATGATAACCTCCGAAAGGACAAAACACTGAGGAAAACACTTAGCAAAAGAAGCACAAAACAGACTCTTAACACAACAGAGCATTGTTGAGGGAAATGAAATGGATCCAGAAGACACAGGAACACGTCCCACATTCACGGGTCAGGACACATAGCATCGGTACGCCGGCGACACCCTGTAAAGTGACCTGTAGATCGGGCACAATCCCTGTCAGAACCCCAGCTGACCTTGCTGCAGGAAAGGGCGAGCTGGTTGGAAAACTCACATGAAATCGCACAGAGAATGACCAGAACAATCCCGAAAAAGAGAAACAGAGCAGAAGACTCGTGTTCTGATTTCAAGACCCACTACAAAGCAGCAGTGAGACACTGCGCACGGACAGACAGACCGACCTGTGGACGGAAAGGACGGAACCGAGAGCCCAACAGCAGATGCACACACGTGTGGCCAAGAGGCGACCACCAAGCTCGTCGAGACCCATTCAATGGGGAGAAGCCGGACTCCCCCCAAGGGAGCGGCCACACGAAGGTGGGGTGTGGATGTGAATGTTTGAAGGTGAATGTTTATTCACTCAACACGGACCAAAGACTTACATGTAAGTGACGAAACTCAGAAAGCATGGGGTGGGTCTTCATGATCTCAGAGCTGCCGTGGGATTCTTAGAAATGGCACCAGCGGGGGCACCTGGGTGACGGAGTCAGCTAAGTGTCTGACTCTTGGTTTGGGCTCGGGTCACGATCTTCCCAGCTGGGAGGGGGAGCCCCGCACTGGGCTCTGTGCTCAGCCCCCAGTCTGCTGGAGACTCTCCCTCCCTCTGTCTCTGCCCCACCCACCCATGCTCGCTCACTCTCTCAATAAATGAAACTTTAAGAGAGAAAGAGAGGAAGAAAGAAAGAAATGGCACCGAGAGCACGAACAACGGAAGAGAGACACTCAAACCGGGCTGCACCGAAACCGCAAATCCTGTGTCTCCAAGGCGACCGTCGTGAAGGGGAAGAGAGCCCACAGACAGGAGCGAATGTTTGCAGGTCACGTGTCTTTCAAGGGTGACGAGGGGCTTGGGTGGGAACATGTCAAGGACTCTGACAAGTCACCAACTTAAAAATCAGCCGAGGATGTGAACGGCCGTTTGCACAGAGAAAAGGCCCTGAGCCCATGAAGGGAGGCCCCAGGTCACCAGTGATCAAGGAATCTACGAGATCCCACATCATGCCCACCAGACAGCTGAGCCCGTGTGTCAGCCGGCTTGAAGAGCCCGGAGCCTTCGTGCGCGGCAGCTGGGGACACGGGGTGGCACAGCTGCTCTGGGAAATAGGCTGGCGGCTCTGTCAAGGATTGCCGTGGACTCGGCCGTCCCACTCCTAGCCATGAAAACATGGGTCTTTGAATATCCACAGCAGCCCTGTTCACCCACGCCCCAGGCGGCAATGGCCACCGTGCCCATCACTGATGATGGTACACACAGTGGCCCATCCGTTTGCCAGAGCGCGACTCAGCCATAAAGCAACGTTGTCCTGACACGGCCACAGAGCAGCTGAGCCTGAGTGACAGGAACCGGGCACACTGCGGTCCAGACCTAAAGTTGATCGCGGCGCCTGGGGCTGCAGATGGGGGACGGGGGCCCGAGGACTGACTGCGCAGGTTTCTGGCTGACAGGGTGGAAACGTCCTCCACTTGGCTCCGGTGACAGTGGCGTACCCGCCAACCGCTAACATTCACAGAGTTTAACACATTAAATGTGTGAATTATATCTCGATGACGCTTTTCTGAAGGGGGGAGGAAACAGGTGCCCATGAACCAGGTTGGGTCCGCACCGCCCATGAGGGTGCTGGCCCGCTCACCACGGGTGTGTCGCCTGCCCTCCCACATCACAGCCGTCCTGCCCATCGGGGAAATGGTGTGGAGAAGCGTGTCAACACCAGCCTCCTCAGCAGGAAGGTAGAGCTGGGCAGGAGCGGAGGAGGGATGGCCCCGGGGACAGCAACCCCAGACAGCGGAGGCCAGGGCTGCAGCTTCTCCCCGCGTGGCCCCGGCCAGGACCCTCTTTCCAAGCCCTGTGCCTTATGCCCTTCATGCAGCTGCGAGCCCCTGACCTCCCCAGGGACGGTCACATGTTAATGGGGTTCAGCATGGAAGGAAATCTGTTTCTCCTCCTAAAGGTTCTTAAACATCGCTTGGGGGAGGGCACGGAAAGGGTCTCATGGGAATCTCTAGGGGACCCCCTCCAGGGTGTCCTCGGGCAGACCCAGGAGCCAGGGTGCTTCTGTTTCTTGGGTCCTGCCCCTCCCCCCTGCCTGCGAGAGACTCCGGGCAGAGGGGCCTGCGCAAGGCAAGCAGCGTGGGGTCCCATGCCCCCCAGACGTGTGGCAGAAGCCCCGGGGCCCTCTGTCCACCTCTGTGCAGCCGGCGGCCCAGAGCAGGCACCCCCACCCCAATACTAAAGATAAAACTCTTGTTTCTGCCAGAACCCAGACCTCTCTGACCTGCTCGCTCCCAAGCCCCATCCCAGGACCTGCCCCTCACCCCTTCTGCCCCAGGGGCCGTTGCCTCGGTGTGGGTGACGACAGTGGCTACCACGGCTCAGCCACAGACCTTCGCTGTCAGCCAGGAGCAGCGACACGTAGGGTCCTCTGCCGCAGCCGTCGCACACCGTGAGAGCCCGAGAGGCTGTGGCTGGAGAGCAGTCAGACACGGCCACGTGGCCCCAAACCCCTCTGAAAACCTCTCAAAATTCAACACTCGCTGCCGCCGTGGACTGGGAAAATGACTTACTCTTCTCGGAGCTCCAGCCCCAAAACAGCACATCAGCAAACAGACACGACATTGAAATCATGAATCAAGGTACAATGTTCAGAAAACTGATCAAGGTTGGCATTCATACACCCCGTGTCTCCTCCTCTGTAAAGCCCGTCAGAGCCCTGGGCCCCTCTGCTTGTCCATCTACTCCCCATCTCTCCTCAGCTTGGGAGAGCCCATACCCAACACACCCCACACCCTGAACTTTTCTTCCTGTGCCTCAACATCAGCGGCTAGGTTGTAGGAGGCACCCACGAAGCTGGAAGCCCCGCTCACTCAGACTAACTGTGAAGGACACCCACTAAGCCCCAAGTCCAGAGTTGTGCAGTGCACAGCCTGGGGAACGTGAGCCCAGATCCTAGGTTGCTGGACTGGGGTGGGCGGCTTTCCTAGGATGCCCAGCTATAGCCATAACATACTCTGGTCAGGGCACACCCTATGACCCCGCATTCAAAAGAAATCGTGTACATTCTTACCATTTGCCTTCTATTCTCCACTAGGTTGAGGCCAATAATTCCTAGGAAAGCTCCAAAGCCGAGCTGCACAGAAGGAAGAACAGGGGGAAAGCCCCTGGTTAGCGCCCGAGCCGCCGGCCGGCCCTCACGCAAGCAACGCCCAGGACATTGCCACCCTTAGAAGGCTTTCGGCCAAGGGACAAGGCCGGCTGGTCCCACCCCCCTGCCGCCCTGACCCCCGAGAAGCAGGCAGGCCCCTGCCCGCTGGGGTGGGCTTCTCGGGCTCAGGCTATGCCGGTGACTGGAATCGAGGTTGCCGAAACCTGACGCGTCTCAACTTCCATGTTCAACTACTTCAAGTCCTGATCGCAGAAAGGAGCGTCCCACGGGCCCCCCTCAGCCGGCATGGGGGGACAGCCCCTCACGGTGGCCCAGAGCCCCGCCGGCCCGTCTTCTGCTTCGGCCCATCAGGCGAGCAGCCCACCTGATGCTTCTCCCGGGCCAGTCTGAAGTCCGAGCCGGAGGACAGCTCCTCGGGTGAGACACTAGGACCCAGAACCAGACCCAGGAGGGCAGACAAGGAGCTGCCAGTCGCCCACGGACACTGCTGAGGCCAAGCACAGGGGAGCGTCGGGCTCAGGTGAGCAGGTGGACAGGTAGCCTCGGGGAGGGGAGGAGAGAGAGGAAGGAGGCTCCCGTACTGGGAGGTCGCCGAGGGGCCTTCCTGTGTCCGGACGAGGGGTGGCGGGCTGTTGGAGAAGCCTACCCTGGCTGTGCTCGCTCCAGAGCGAGGGATCCAAGGCGGGGCACAGGGACCCGTCCACTGACTGTGTCCACCTGGCGGGAGACGTCTGTCTGTCACGTCTGTCAGCTTGACCGGCGCCCGAGGACATCGCCGTGCGCGGTGGCTGACGGGGGGACGGGGGGCTGGGCCACTGGCGGCAGGTGGCTGGGGGGCCCCAGCTGGCGGTCGGGCGTACATCGGAGTTTGGGGCACTGACCCACAGAGCAGCACCATGGCGGGCGCGCTAGGTCACTGTGTCAAATTCAGCGCCCTAAAGTCAGAGCCGCTCGTGGCTGCGCAGCCTCATCCGTGGAGACGCTGTCACCGAGGGTCTAAGAATTCTCATGGAGGAAGGAGGAAGGTTCTCGCCTTGTGCAGCTTCGACATACCACAGTCCAGCGGCTCAGTTCAGAAGCGTCAGAATCCCATGCCAGCATCACTACAGGGACGGCTCACCGACTCCCGCCCTCGGTCCCACAGGAGGGGCTGGGACGCACAGCCCCGGTTTGTCCTGCCGTCGTCTCCGCAGACGGGACAGACTTCCCCGCATTTTCCTGCGCATTCCGTCTGCTCCTCCATAGCCTTCGGAACCGGCCTGGTCCCGGAACCCAGTTCCCTCAGAGCCGACGGCCCTCAACACCTCGACACGGTGCCCGGGGTCCCCTCCCCCCACCACCCCCGGCAGAAAGGTGGGGCGCCCAGAATACAGGCAGCTCTGAAGACTTCACTGCTGAGACTTTCTCTGCACAATCACTCTTTATGTCGCCTCAAACACTGCACGGGCAGGTCATGCAGATGGTGAATAAAATAAAGTAGGCGCAGTGGGGACCCTGGGAGCACAGTCTACTGCTAACAACGGTGCACGTGAATTCACAATCCGAAAAGTCCCCTCGACCATCCTGAGTTGGGGAGCACTTCCTGCCAATCTCAGTAGGCTGTCCTGTCTACCGGGGGCATTCCTGCCCGCAGCCTAAGTGCGGCGTGGATGGCGGCCCCTCCTGCTGCCCCAGGAGAGGGACTGACTGGCACAACGACAGTTGGGGCTCCTCGGCCGGCCTCCACTGAGACGCGTGTCTGTTCTCCCAGACAGGGTGCAGTCAGCATGCTGTTTTGGGGTGGGTTCCATCTGGAGGTCCTGGGCCGAGTCCAGGCCAGGGTCTGTCCTGCTCCGGCGCCCGGGCCATGGCCAGCTTGGGCGTCCTCCACCACCAGCACCTTCCCCTCTTCCCAGCTCCGACCGTGCACCTGCCCTCCTGCACTCCCATGGGCCCCCCATGCTCACACCACCCCGGCCACGCGAGGCAGGATGATGGTGTCTCTTAGGGCAGGCCAGCCAGCAGCCGGCACAGCCACAGGGCCCAGGGAGGACACAGGTGCCTCTGGGGGCAGATTCTGCTGACCACAACCACCCACAGCGGCTTCCCCGCCTTACACTCCAACCCCATGAACTGGAGTGGAGAGTGTCACCCCCCATGGCCCTCCCAACAGGCCCCGCGGGCAGCAGCACTCACGATGATCCCTGGGTAGTAGCCCCCCACGGTCACGTTCTCTGTCCTGGTGGTGGCGGCGAGGCCGACGGTCAGAATGGCAGCAGACACCACGAGCAGAGACCCCACAAACCGAAGGGAGGCCTTCTTTCTCCTCACAAACCCTTCTAGAAGGAGGACAAATGAGGAACCGTCAGCAACAGGTTGGGTTCAGAGCGGGGTCCCCCCAGACCCACTTTCTGCCCAGGCCACTCCCCCCTCAGGTGACCAAAGCGGCCTCTGGAAGACCCCAGCCCACCCACAGGCACGGATGCCTCTTTTCAGGGCAGGAAATCAGGGCAGGGCGTCCCTCCCCCCCACCGACCTGAAATGTCCCCACTTGGCTCCTCGGTGTCTTTCCTAAGGACACGTGTCGGCACCACGCAGCCTCACTCCCAGTTCCGTGTCCCCACAGCTGGAAGCGGGAGCTGCCGGCCGCGGACTCCCTTCAGCCCCCGTTGCTCCAGGGTTCGACACCCGATATCGGACCCCACAGTGGTGACCCCTATGAGGCGAGCGGGGACATCTTCTCCCTGCCCTGTCCTCTTGCCTGAGATTCAGTGCCCCCAGGGCTCATCCCCAAACCAATGCCCACCCTGGTCTGTATGTCCCCCAAAGCCTTCATCCTGGCAACCCTCAGCAGAGGTCATGCCTGACCATTTATCATCCACCGAAACGAAGAGTGTTCATTAGGTCCTGCAGGAAATCTCTCAGAGGAGCCCGTCCCTCAGCCTTTCTCCCTGTCAGCCTTTCTGCTACCTGGAATAGGGGCATAAAGGCGAAGCCCCAGAGGTCATTCTGGGCCCTGAGGGCACCTTGCGAATGGAGGCCACACTTGCAGGATGGCAGAGCTGAAAGACAGGCCTGGGCTGTCTACCTCCAAACTCAAGTAGCAGAATAAGTTCTTGGGCTACAGCCGCCGCTTCAGGTGTCCCGGGATCTGTGGGCAGACATCATTCTAGGTGTCACGGAACTCAGGAAAGCAGCCAGAAAGGAGACCTTCTGCCTCGAGTCTCGACGTCTGGGTTTCTCATTCGTCTAACGTTCTTCCCTGGGGTGTGTCTCGGGGAAGGCGGGGAGGCCTCCCTTCCAGGCACCGTTCACACACAGACACCCACGCCAAGCGCGGCAGCGGCCCAGCCCAGGCAGCTAGCCAGGAGAGAATCCGCGCCGAGTCCAGACAGGCTGTTGGGTTTGCTTTTTCGAAGCTTAACTATCTCGATCCCCGTGATTCCAAAATGAAATCAGGCTGAAAGAAAAACGGGGTGGCGGAGGGGCAGGAGACCAAGACGACATCAGCAGCAGGCGATCAGCTGGACAGTTATCAGACCTTCCGAACACTGACACACTCAACAGGAGATCGAAGAGAAGAGGAGCAGCAATTCTAGGAACAGAAAATCGACCACTTTCTGGAAGGTAGAACGTGCAGAGAAGTGAGTCCAAAGCGATGGGAAGATAGACTGTGGGGGAGGGGCCAGCTCCCAGCAAGCAGCGGAGCACAAAATCCGAACTTCTAGAAGTCGGCTCCACGGAGGGACGTCACTCCAGAGGCCAAGTGGGGGGTGGAGCCTTCGCAGGGACAGTGTGGTTTCAGGTGCCGCAGGGTCACCGGAGGATCGGGGGTGCCTGAGTGAGGCAGAGCTCGCAGGTATCGGAGCAGGAAAGCCGGCTGCAGAGACGGAGCCAAGGAGTGGGTTCTCAGGTCGGGGTCACCTTAAACCATGATCCGAAGCACAGTCGGGCCACTGCCCTTAGAACAGGGACCCCGCAAGTGGCAGATCTGTGGAGACTCGTCTTCCTCCCCCAGGGGGAGTGGCTCAGGAGCCTGCAGCAGGAATGTGCTGGGTTTCGAGACTCCAAACGGGGCTGTGCGCCAGAGACAGAGACGCTCCGTCACAGGCCGGGTGAGCCCAGAGTGAGGCTGGGGACCAGGGAGATGGGAGGGACTGATGGCTTCTCTCTGCAGGCACACAGAGGAGCAGGGCCCCAAGCTCTCGCCTCCTCCTGGCTGGAGACTGGGAGTCTGCCATCTTCCTTCCCGTCCTCCGGACTCTATGAAAACCGTTCGGGGAACAAAAGTTCGAGCGCGAACCTGAGCAGATTGCTTAGCCCGACCCCTGGCAAGGCCGGTGCAATTCCACCTCAGGCTAAGACACTTGAGAATCAGAGCAACAGCCCCGCCCCCAGATCAGCAGAACATCCAGCCAAGACCAAGCTCACCGACTAGGAGAACCGCGAACTCCAGAGCTGGGGGAAGCAATGCATAGAATTCATGGCTTTTCCCATGATCCGTTAGTATTGCAAAGTTAAATTTGTTTTAACTTTATTTCTGCTTACTCTATATTTTAACTTTTCCTCTTTCCTATTTTAACCTTTTAAATTATTTTATCTTATCATTACCTTTTAAAAAAATCTTTTTAAATTTTCATTGTTATAGGTATATTCTATCCCTTCATTGTATTTAACCTTATTTTTAGTATACATAAAGGTTCTTTTTCTTTAAAAATTTGGGATACAATTTCTTCTAATAGATCAAAATATACTTTAAATGTAGCACTTGGCTTTGTTCTAGTCTCCAGTCTGATCACATACTTTCCTTTTTTTCTCTTTTCTTTGTTCATTTTTTAAAAAGATTTTTATTTATTTATGTGACAGAGAGAGAGACAGCGAGAGAGGGAGCATAAGCAGGGGAAGCGTGAGGGGGAGAAACAGGCTTCCAGTGAAGCAGGGAGCCCAAAGCAGGGCTTGATCCCAGGACCCTGGGATTATGATCTGAGCCAAAGGCAGAGGCTTAACAGCTGAGCCACCCAGACACCCCTTTCCTTACTCCTTTTTCAACCTACTTCGTATCATATCAATTCCTTTTTAAAAATCTTTTTAAATTTTTATCTTTACAGTCATATTCCATCCCTTCATCGTGTTTACCCTTAGTTTTCTGCATACATATAAGTTTTTCTTTCTTTAAAATTTTGGGAGGTAGTTTCTTCTAACAGACCAAAATACCCAAAACCAAGTGTTTGGCTATGTTCTACTCACCAGTCTAATATATATATTTTTTTTCTTTTTTTTCTTTTTTTTTTTAAAGATTTTATTTATTTATTTGACAGACAGAGATCACAAGTAGGCAGAGAGGCAGGCAGAGAGAGAGAAGCAGGCTCCCCGCTGAGCAGAGAGCCCGATGCGGGACTCGATCCCAGGACCCTGAGATCATGACCTGAGCCAAAGGCAGCGGCTTAACCCACTGAGCCACCCAGGCGCCCCTATTTTTTCTTTTTTTTCCAGTTTTTTTCTCCCCCCCAGTTTTGGGTCTCATCTGATTTGGTTAGTGTATATTTTTGGGGGGTCATTGCTACCCTTTTAGTATTTTGTTCTCTTATTCATCTATTCTTATCTGGATAAAATGATAAGGCAGGAAAACAACAAAAAAAAAATAATAATAAATAAAAGAACAAGAGGCAGTACCGAAGTCTAGGGACCTAATCAATAGGGACATAAGTAATATATCAGAACCACAGTTCAGAATGACGATTATCAAGGTGCTTGCTGGGCTCAAGAAAAGCATGGAAAATATTAGAGAATCCCTTTTTGGAGAAATAAAAGAACTAAAATCTAACCAAGTTGTAATTTAAAAAGTTAATAATGAGGTGCAATAAAAATGGAGGCTCTCACTGCTAGGATGAATGAGGCAGAAGAGAGAATTAATGATCTAGAAGACCAAATGACGGAGAATAAAGAAGCTGAGCAAAAGACAGACAAACAACTACTGGACCACGAGGGGAGAATTCGAGAGATAAGTGATACCATAAGACAAAACAACATTAGAATAATTGGGATCCCAGAAGAAAAAGAAAGAGAGAGGGGAGCAGAAGGTATATTGGAGCAAATTATAGCAGAGGATTTCCCTAATTTGGTGAAGGGAACAAACACCAAAATCTAGGAGGCACAGAGAACTCCACTCAACTCAATAAGAATAGGTCGACACCCCGTCATCTAATAGTAAAACGTACAAGTCTCAGTGACAAAGAGAAAATCCTGAAAGCAGCTCAGTACAAGAAGTCTGTAACATACAATGGTAGAAATATTAGATTGGCAGCAGACTTATCCACAGGGACCTGGCAGGCCAGAAAGAGCTGGCATGATATATTCCGAGCACTAAACGAGAAAAACATGCAGCCAAGAATACTATATCCAGCTCGGCTATCACTGAAAATAGAAGGAGAGATTAAAAGCTTCCAGGACAAAGAAAAACTAAAAGAATTTGTAAACACCAAACCAGCTCTACAGGAAATATTGAAAGGGGTCCTCTAAGCAAAGAGAGACCCTAAAATTAACAGACCAGAAGGGAACAGAGACAATACACAGTAACAGTCGTCCGACAGGCAATGCAATGGCACTAAGTTCATATCTCTCAATAGTTACCCTGAATGTAAATGGGCTAAATGCCCCAATCAAAAGACACAGGGTGTCAGAATGGATGAAAAAAAAAAAAGACCCATCGGTATGCCGACTGCAAGAAACTCATTTTAGACCCAAAGACGCCTCCAGATTTAAAGTGAGGGGGTGGGAAACAATTTACCAGGCTAATGGACATTAAAAGAATGCTGGGGTGGCAATCCTTATTTCAGATAATTTAGATTTTAAGCCAAAGGCTATAATAAGAAATGAGGAAGGACACTATATCATACATAAAGGGTCTGTCCAACAAGAAGATCTAACAATTTCAAATATGTGCCCCTAACGTGGGAGCAGCCAATTATATAAACCAATTAATAACAAAATCAAAGAAACATATTGACAATAATACAGTAATAGTAGGGGACTTTAACACCTCCCTCACTGAAATGGACAGATCATCCAAGCAAAGGAAACAGTCAATAAAACCAAAACACAACTAAGATATTTGTAAACGACACATCAGATAAAGGGCTAGTGTCCAAAATCTACAAAGAACTTATCAAACTCAACACCTAAAGAACAAATAATCCAATCAAGAAATAGGCAGAGGACATGAACAGACATTTCTGCAAAGAAGACATCCAGATGGCCAACAGACCCATGAGAAAGTGCTCCACATCACTGGGCATCAGGGAAATACAAATCAAAACCACAATGAGATACCACCTCACACCAGTCAGAATGGCTAAAATTAACAAGTCAGGAGACAACAGATGCTGATGAGGATGCGGGGAAAGGGGAACCCTCCTACACTGTTGGTGGGAATGCAAGATGGTGCGGCCACTCTGGAAAACAGCATGGAGGTTCCTCAAAAAGTTGAAAATGGAGCTACCCTGCAACCCAGCAATCGCACTACTGGGTATTTACCCTAAAGATACAAACGTAGTGATCTGAAGGGGCACGTGCACCCAAATGTTCATAGCAGCAATGTCCACAGTAGCCAAACTATGGAAAGAAACTAGATGTCCAACAACAGATGAATGGATAGAGAAGATGTGGTTCATATATACAATGGAATACTATGCAGCCATCAAAAGAAATGAAATCTTGCCATTTGCGATGATGTGGATGGAACTAGAGGGTATTATGCTGAGTGAAATAAGTCCATCAGAGAAAGACAATTATCATATGATCTCCCTGATATGAGGAATTTGAGGGGCAGGACGAGGGGTTTATGGGGGGAAGGGAGGGAAAAATGAAACAAGATGGGATTGGGAGGGAGACAAACTATAAGAGACTGTTAATCTCATAGAACAAACAGAGGGTTGCAGGGAGGAGGGGGATGGGGAGAGGGTGGGTGGGTTATGGACATTGGGGAGGGTGTGTGCTATGGTGAGTGCTGTGAAGTGTGTAAACCTGGCGATTCACAGACCTGTACCCCTGGGGCTAATGCTACATTGTATGTTAATAAAAAAAGAAAAGACAAGAAAATCGGGTGTTTCATTGCGCACCCAGTTCTTCAGTCAACATCGTGTGTGTTTAGGGGGGAGTGGCCGCGGACCCGAGGGCAACCTCCGGGCCGGCCGCTGCACACACTCACATGCACGCCCCCGACGGTTTGGGTGTGACTGTGCACGCCTCTGGTGGCTCAGCGAAGCTCAATGGCAAGTCCAGATGCGGCCCCCATGATGGGGACGCTTACACACGCAGAAGCGAGTCGTCCCGCGAGCTCACATGCACGTCCTCCTCCTCAAAGGACTTTCAGATGCTTTTTCCTCAGTTCGTGCATCGCACAAGTTAGGCGCAAGGCATCAGACAGACAGTCAGGCGTCCTGGACAGTCAGGCGTCCTCGGCGTCTCAGTGCCTCGCACACCCACCTGGCAGCAAGTCCCCGTCCGAGCCCGCAGGGACGCTCCCATGGCTGCTCATGGAGCCAGAAGCTAAGCACGGCTCCCCAGGCCTTCCCGCGTCCCAATCCTCTGCTTTGTCCCGGGTCTGGCCTTCCCTCCGAGGCTCCGGCTCCAGGAGGCGCCGCCGCTCCGGCGGCGCTCCCGGACCGTCCCCAGGTGAACCGGAGGCCGGAAGGACAGCGGCGGGGCCCATGCGGGACGCGGGAAGCTCAGCGCCGGCCAGCAGCAGTGTCCTGACCCCAAGCACAACACAGGTAGCGAGGAGAAGACTCCTGCCCGTACACGCTGTTTCTAAACACAGGACATGACATAAAAATAAGGGAACGAGAAAGAAACTCAAGGAAGGAAGGTAGGACATCTTTATAATTACCCTAAAATGTGTTTTTCGATCTGGTTTTGGAGACAAAATGGTCCTGCGCTGGAGGAAGACACCAGACGCCCCCGGACCGGCCCCCGAGTCCTCCTGCCCGACACCGGACTGTCAACATGTGTGCTGCTACAGCGATGGGTCCTGCCTCAGCCAAGATCTCTCCTGTCTGGTCTCTACCCTGCGGGCAACTGCCCAGACCGGCCGGGTGGCCTCCAGCCGCCCGGAGGGGAGGCCCGTGGAGCAGGGTCTGTCTGCCCTGTTTGCTGCTGGAGCCCACACCCGGCTCAGACCGACAGGCAGCTTTCTGAGTGTGGCCTGGAGGCCCTGACCTCAGTTTCCCGCCCTGGACAGTAGAGGCAGTGACAGCATTACTCAGCCCTCAACGCTGTAAGTGGCCAGCGAGAGCACGAGAGAGTTGGGGGCGCAGGGAGGTCGGGAAAGGCTCATCGCGGGTGGAGAGCACACTGCGACAGGTAGCTGGTGCTGCTAACCGGCTTTCCTCCCTCTGGGAGAGGCGTTTGAGGGGTGATGCTGAAGGCCACCAGCAGCAACTCCCCGTTACCCCAGCCCCAGCCCTCTCCCTGCCACAGCTCCTGGGGGAGCCTGGCCACATCCAGGCGGAGCAGATCCCGTCCCTGAGACCAGGTGCTGCAGCTGGGAAGCGTCCCGGGTCACGGTCTCCCTGAAATAGGGCTTTGGCCTCCCGGAGAGAAGCCACTCACTTCATCACATGGGGACACCTGGTCCCAGAGGCAAAGTGACATCCCCTAGGGAAAGAGACCCGTGCAGAACCCTGCGACTCAGCCATCTGCTTCCTGTTTCCTGATCTTATGGGGGACAGGGGCAGGGTGCTGACCACAGAAACTTCGAGTGACAATACTCAGAAGGCCAGCCAGCTGCCCCAATGTTTGCGCTTTAGGTAAGAGCCCCACTCCTGGTAGAATTCCTCATCAGAGGGAAAACAAAGTGCTCTTTAAACCAGCAGTCACTGCAGTGTGATAATACAGTAACAACCAGCGACAGCCCTCATTGTCGCGAACACTGGTAAGGAAGCCCCCAGTGAGTAAGCCAGGTCTGGAGGGAGAAAACACAGGCTCATGGAGCACCGAGCGGGGAGGGTGGGGGATGTGCGTCTGTTTCTTTCAACCAAGAAGCCAGATTCTTTTGTCATTCATTATTTAACAATAAAACAACATCGACTCCTCTGGTTTTTAATAAGAGACGCCCCAAAGATGCCGCAAACAGCCAGGCACGTCCAGTGGGACCCCCCCCCCCCCGCCGCAGGGAGCCTAGGAGGCACACTGGGCCGTCCTGCGGCTGAGGTCTCCCACTGGGAAGCAAGCCTCACTGCCCCTCTTAGAGTCTGCCCTGACCCCCCTGAGGAAAACACACCCTCTCCTCTGGCCCCTGAGCCTCCTCCAGGCTGCGGCAGGTCTGGCCAAAGAACAGAGTTCCAGGAACTTGTGGGGCAGAAGGATGTGGGGTCGGAACAGAGCTGCAGCCAAACTAGGGACGCCACCACCGTCCCTTGAACCAAGGTCTAGTAACGCCCGAGCTATGGCAGGGGAGGCGGAGGGCGGGATCCCTGGTAACAGAGTGGGTGACAGGGAGCTCCCTCGGCCCTGCCCTCGACCCCCGCCCGGGACTCCAGCCCACGGCCTGTCCCCAGCGCGGCCGGGATGTCAACGACCCTCTCACCTGTCGTGTCCAGCAGGGCCAGCGGCCCAGGCACTGGCGGCTGCGTCCCGGGGTAGGGCCCGCCGTCCCGGTGCCCAGTGCGTGGAGGCTGTCTATGCTGGCAGGGATCCCCCGGGCCAGAGGATCTGTGGCCCTGAGCCCCGCCCCTTCTCTGTACGGACCGCCTCCTTCCCACCGGCACTCTCCCTCCCCCTGCCGCCACAGGTCAGGGTACTGGAGGGGGCGGGTGCCAGGAAGTGGAGGGCCTAGAAGGAGGCCAGCGGGGAAGTCCTCCAGGACTTCTGGTCAGTGCTCAAAGGCCCGAGGCTGCGGGGTGTGCATTGTTAGGGGGATGCCTGTGGCCCGGCCCACCTGCCCTCAAGGGCTGCTGCAGCTGCTTCTGCTCCTGTCCAGAGGGGTTAGGGTTAGGGCCGCTCCCCTTGAACAAAGGAATGCAGGCCCCCATCATGCCCCTCCTCCTCTCACCTTCCCGTCACACCCCTCCCCTGCTCACCTTCACCCTGTGATACCCCCCACTCACCTTCATCCATCACATACCCCTCCCCACTCACCTTCACCCCGTCACACCCCCCAACCCACTCACCTTCACCCCAGTCAGGCTGGCACTGAGTAAAACCCGCGGCTAGGATGGGAGGAGCCAGAGAATGGGGTCCCAGGACCATTGACTCGCTTGGCGGCAAGGAGAGGGTCTTGCAAAGACCGTTGGTGCCATTTTTAAGCTGTCAGAGCCGGCCCCTGAGGGCAGAGCTCCCGGCCTCCCTGGGAATCAGGGGAGTGTCATGGGAAGCGGCGCTGTGCCCCCACGGGGCTGGCCGGTCAGTGTGAGGCAGGGACTTGGACTTGGACTAGGACACGGCCCTTCCTCCCCAAGGACGCGCCCAAGAGCCCAGGCTATCCACTGCTATCATCGAAAACCTGTGTTTTAGGGAACTGGGACCCTGAGCTTGACCTTGATCCCCGACCCCGACTTGTGGATGCAGCATTTGTGATGAAGGCCACCACTCTCCAGGGGCTGACGCTGTGCCCGCCGCTGGCACGGGCACACGGCTCGGCCCCACCTGCGGCCACAGCGCAACAGGCACAGCCTGTCAGCACAGGGGCTCCGACAAAATAGGGACAGAGTGGTGGCAGGAGGGGTCACCACGTGGGTCTCCCTGTGAAGGTGACGCCTGCGAGGCAGGCCACCATCCGGACGCTGTGCCGGGGAGGCAGACCCAGCCTGGGGAGCGAGCGAGGGGGTCAGAGGGCCCCCCGGGCGGCTGGAGGGGAGCAGCAGCCCACAACAGCCCATCCCATCCACATTGTGGTGGCCTCAGGCGATCCCAATGCTGATCCCCTTGCACAGATGGGGAAACTGAGGCCCCAGGAGGCTAAGTGTGTGACCAAGGGCAGATCTAGAATTCTTCCAAACCCGGCACCTGTCACTGCAGGGAGGGACCCTACGAGTCATTCCTTGGACCCCCTCCCCGCCCGGTGGGACTCAGCTCTTGCGCCATGGTGCCCACTGACACGGGTTGGCCCACCTCGACGGGACACTGTGGCCCACAGCAAGCGGACCTCCGCAGAGAGCAATGGCCTGGGCTCAGGGTTTTCTTAAATGTCATTTAATTTAGCTCTTGCTAAGACAATTAAGAGGAAATCGGCCCTCTTCCAGTCTGAAGATAATCAGAGGGGCCAGACAAATCCATATTGACATTAAGAAGATCACGTAGACACATGCTCAGCCGGCGGGGCTCTGAGTCCTGACACACGGGCGCACCCTCCACAGAAGACCTGCTGGGACGTCCAGGGTAGCTGGGGTGACGACGGCAAGGACAGGAAGGCGACAGGCATGAAGGGCCGGGCCTTGTACCAGCAAAGACGTGTTTGCCGTCAGCAATGCAGCTTCTGGGAGACTTGGGGGAGGGTCCTGGAGGCAGACGCACGGTCTGGAGAGTCACTGGAAGACAAGCCACACAACAGGAAAGACGCCCAGGGTTGGCCTCCACGGTCCCAGATGCGCGGATTTCACTGGAAGTGGAAGACTGGGGACAGATCGCCTTCGCTGACGGGCACACCACAGTGGGCAAAGCACGAAAGAAGGAAGGTGGGGTCCCTGTGGGGGGCTCATGGCAGTGTTGGGGTCCCAGGGAGTGGGTGGGTGCATGGGGGGCACTGGATCTGGGGGGATGTTCATGGGAGACACACAGAGTCCCAGGGGTGTGCCTGGTGGGCATGCAGGGTCCCCAGGGGGTGGTCATGCGGGGCATGTGGGGACGCCGAAGGCCATGCAGGGCATTCTATCTCCCGGTGTCTTCTCTGCTGCCCACGCCCCCGAGGCAGGTGGCACAGATTCCTCGCCGGCCACTTCCGTGTCTTCGTGTAGAACCAAAACGGATGCGGAGCTGGCGTGTGAATAACGTTAAGAGTGGCACCACTCGGGGCGCCGGGGGCTCAGTCGTTGAGCATCTGCCTTCACTCGGGTTGTGATCTTGGGGTCCTGGGATCGAGCCCCACGTCAGGCTCCCTGCTCGCTGGGGAGCCTCTTCTCCCTCTCCCTCGGCCACTCCCCTGCTTGTGCTCAGTCTCTCTCTGTCTCTGACAAATAAGTAAATGAAATATTTAAAAACAAAACCAGAAAAGATCGGGAACCTCCACGCCCCCAGTGAGAGTTTTGACGCTCGAAGCCACTCACGTGGCTGCCGTCGCTGGGTCGGAGTGAGGTCGCACATGACGCAGACGGTCGTCCCTCCCCACGCTCACTCATCAAGGGCCAGGGCGCACACCCCGGGGGGGACCGCGTTATCCCTCGGTCACGTGAGGACGATCGACCCTTGGCGAGGAGGACCCCGTGCGGAAGGTCCGGTGGCAGGAGGGACGGGCCTGGGGTTCGATGGTGAAAGATCAGCCCCTCAGACACGGGGGCCGGGGAGGGGCGCCCTGCAGACGGCAGCCCCAGAGTGGGCCCGGGTTTGGGGGCATCAGATGGACCTGCCCGCGGTCGGGGAAGCACCTTGGGGGTGTCCCGACCCTGAGGAAGGGTCTCCTTGGTGCTCTGGAACATTTGGCATCTCCCTTCGCTGGCGAATGAGCTCGGCAAACGGCCCCCGTCGTTCCGTCGGTGATGATGGCACCGGCGGGGCTTTCGGAAGACGCTGATTTCATACAGTCCCTGTCTTGAGGGAAAACACACCGTGTGCGAAGGCGCCTGTGACAGCGGCTGCAGGTGACGCACCCTCAGCGCGCCCGCCCCGACCTCCCCCTGCACGAGCGCGGGTCCCAGCACACCCCCAGAAACACCCGAGTCCCCCCACCCGAGCGGCTCTCCCGGAGCCACCGTGGACCTCTGAGCCCGTGTCCCTTCAGACCTCAAGCGAGCTGGGCGGCAGCTCTCCCTGGCTGAGCCCGGGCCACACGCACTGCCACCCCCCACCCCCGTGGTCATGGCTTCTCCCCCGAGGCCTTATTTCATCTCTATAAAATCATTTCACAGATGAAGAAACAGGCCCCGAGAATTTAAATAATTTTTCCAAAGTCAAGTATCTGTTCAATGGCAGAAGCCAGATCTGAGCCAGGTCAGCCGGATCTCGGCCTCCACACGGGAAAGGGCGTCTTGACCTGACGGCAGACATTTAATTTAATCTTTCATTCCCATGACCAGCAAAGGTTTCTTGGAGTCCATCTGTGCACAAGACAGAAGAGCCATGCAGACGGCCGTGCAGACCGGCGCGTTCCGAGCACGGCAGCCTCACGGGGAAAGCAGAACTGGAGCCGTCAGCTCTGTGGTCCGAGCGCTCGCCAGGTCGCCACGCTAACAGGGGTCCGTGGACAGGTCCAGCCGAGGGACACCCCAGCTCCCCGGCGGCCGGCACACACCGGCCACCGCGGAAACCCAGATCCGGGACCCCGAGCTTCCCGGGCAGGCCTGTGTCCAGGACAGAGAGGAGGCCGGTGATTCCAGGGGTCCACGTGGTGCCAGGAGGAGGTCGGCCGTGTGTCAGGCCTGAGGACCCAGCCAGGAAGGGGAGAGCTCCAGAGGCTCAGGGGTGAGGCCATGCTGGAGGGCGAGAGGCCGTCGTCGCCACGATTCTGGACCACAGGACACCTCCCCTCCATCCCCTGACTTCCCAGCAGGAGCCCTCGTCCTCAGGGCCCCACGTGCACACACGCACATGGACACACACGCGCGCGCACGTACATGTGCACACATGCACAGATGGACCTGTACGTGGGCACACACGTACACACTCGCACCCATGGGCACACACGTACACACTCGCACCCATGGGCACACAC